CCCCCCTGCAGCTGCACGCCGAAGCCGTTGAGCGGGTCGCCCAGCAGCACCACCTCACTGGTCTCCACGTGGACCACCTGCCCCCCGGGGCCCACAGAGCTGGACGCCAGGGACACTGGACAGAGACGGACAGTAAGGAAGTAGAATTACTTAACCCTTTAAAGCCTGATCCAAGAAAAATAGGAAGAATATTGGATTTTTTTTAGTCTGAAGTCTTTCTTTTGCCCCTCAATAAAGTATGAAGGAAAGAGAACAGTAATTATTTTGATCAAATTAGCGTGCTATAAGTCAAAAATGTATTTTGGTGTAGTCTTCTACTGGCTGTTATCAGGTATATCTGAATGTGTACAACAGGGGTTTGAGCAAAGCTTTTACCACTGAATGATGCAAAAAGTCTCAGATCCAAAAGACTTCAGAAACCGTATAAAGCAAATATGAGACATTTAGCTGTACTTAAGTACCAAAATGCAGTATCTGTACTTTATTGGAGTATATATTTTTTTCCCTACTTTTATTTTTGATTAATTTGATACTTTTACTTTCACTCCACTACATATTTTTGATTAATTTAATACTTTTACTTTTGCTCCACTACATATTTTTGATTAATTTAATACTTTTACTCCACTAGATAATTTTGATTAATTTAATACTTTTACTTTTAGTCCACAACTTATTTTTGATTAATTTAATACTTTTACTTTTACTCCACTAGATATTTTTGATTAATTTAATACTTTTACTCCACTACATATTTTTGATCAATTTAATACTTTTCCTTCTACTTTCACGGGCTGAAAAAATGGAGTACTTCTGTATTTCCACTTGTATCAAGTCTGGTGTTGAAAGAACACTTCAACTTTTAATCAAGTCAGTTTTTTTATGTAGTACTTGTACTTCTACTCCAGTACTTTTACATCTCTGCAACAGGGACACGCACCCTCCCAGATAAATCTCTTCATAAATAAAGACTCTTTTTAGTCCTCTGGGACACCGGGCACCTACGGGAGCTCTTGTGCTCCTTCTTCCTCTGGCGGCGCTTGAGGAGGGAGTTGCGGGGGCTCATGGGCACCGAGGGCCGGGGCAGCGTGCTGGAGCTCTGGCTGCTGGGGCCCGATGTGGCGTTGGAGCCCGAGGAGAAGCTGGCAGAGACCAGAGCTGCAGGGAGGGAGGAAAAACAGCCATGTTTGCTGTTAAAAAGCAGATTCACATCTCTACAGAGGGGGGAAATGCTGTAAATTCTAACTAAATTATTGGCATTGTCACTATAACTCATTTTAGACCTTTATATATATATACATATAATAACTTATGTATATATTTATTTATATTCTGTGTGGAATTGTGTATATTTATATATAGACATAGACTATAGACATAGACTTCCTTTATTGTCATTGTCAAAAACACGAGGTGAATTTGACAACGAAATGTCAATTTCTTGGCTACCAGAGTAAAATTTTTAGCAACGAAACATCAATAAATATGTGTGTGTGTATGGGGGGGGTTATGTGGCGTTAAGTAGTCTGATGGCCAGGGGGAAGAAACTATTTAGTAGTCTGGTCGTTCTACAGAAGTATGTGTATAGACATGTATATGTGTATATGCTGTTGTTTTATTTCTGGAGGTAGTAAGAGAAATAATTTCCCTCTGGGATTACTAAAGTATTTCTTATTCTGATTCTGATTAAAAAGCCAAAGAAACTCTGAAGAGCTGCCACTTTAAAGAGCCACAATACATAATTACGCACACAGTTACCCAGAGGTCCAAAATGAAGCCACCAACAAGACATGTAAAATAGATTTATACATTATGGCAACAAGTTTGCATTTCGTGGCCATAAAGTCAGATTTTGAGACCCCGATTTAGTACTTTATAGCCATGAGCTAGCTAAACACAAATGTTGCAAAATACAAACAGATCGTATGAGGCCACAAAACATGAGAGCATGTTGTGAACTTGTTTTCATGGCCGCGTTGTTAGAATTTGGCTATAGCTACTCACTTTAGCATTGTATGCTATCACATGATCTGAGTAAATTACACACCATTTGTCATCTGCATGAATTAGGACCTGGCCTGTTCATGCCCAGATGTAACTGGCCAATAGGACTTGGTTGTGTCCAGTCCAGAGAGAGGTTTTTGTCTGTTAGAGCCCAGCTGATATACTTAACTGTGACCCAATAAATGTTATTTTTTTATACTTTTGATCCACTCCAGCGCTCTTACACTTGCAGTAGTCGACGCTGTTGATGGTGTTGTTGTTGGAGGCCGTCCAGGATTTGTTGAGCGTGGAGCTGGCGTTGCAGAGGGTGGAGTTCGGGGGGAGGCAGTAGTTCACGCAGGGGTCCCAGGAGTGGGGGTGGTCCGACTTCTGGACCTTCACTGGAACACACGCAGAAACCAGGAGTGTTGATTAGAACTTTAAGTGGACAACATTTATCTCAAAGCTTCCAGCAAATGTTGAGGGAAATCGGAAACTACACAAACTGCTCTGCGTCGGGTCAAAGGTCAAGCTGGTTTGTCAGCACTCGTTACAGCTAGTGGCCGACGCCATTAAACCCCTAATGAGGATTTTTAAAGGAAATGCGTTTTCATTTTTCGCTCATCTACTTCTGTGATTTCATTAGTTCTCACGAACAGAATGTCTCCAAACAGGAGCCTGGGAACATGGAGGCTGTGCGGAGCCGTTAAGAAGTTTAAGAGGTCCCATTTTGGAGGATGGAGGAGTGGGGGGGGGGGAATCTGGGGAAAATCCCACTGCGAGCATCGGCACACGAGCGTTCCTCCTCACCACACACACACACACACACACACACACACACACACACGCACACACAGATACACACACACACACACAGACACAAATACACACACACACACACGCATTAAAGAAAAAACACACACGCACACACACACTGACACATACAGACATAGAGAAATACACAGACACCGACACGCACACACACACAGACACACACACAGATAAACACACACACGCATACACACACAGACGCACACACAGACACACACGCATACACACTGACACAAACACACACACACCGACACGCACACACACTGACACACACAGACGCACACACAGATACACACACACACACACACACACA